GCGTAAAGAGATTTAAACAGGACACAATAGAAACTTTCTTAAAGAAAGGGGTGGGTGGTTCGATTTGAGTCCAGTAAAATCGGGATGGCGGTGGACACTGGCGCGGCGCTGAGCGGCACGGCCCAGTTCTCATGCACGTCGACAAGGTCTCCGTTCGCCCCGGGCGATCGGTACACATGCGCCGACGAGTTGCTGCGATTACGTAACTCATCTTCTCCGACCTTACGCTCTTCTCCTTTTCTTGCTCTTGTTCCTCTTCTTCTTCTTCTTCTTCTTCTTCTTTTTCTTTTTCTTTATCTTTTTCTTCTTCTTCATCTTCTTCTTCTTCTTGTTCGTTTCGATCCGGTTATTCGCTGTGCCTTTTATCGACGTTGTCGCGAGGATAGCAGCCACGTTGTTCATTCGGCATAAATTGTCCGAATGCGCGGTGCTTCGAGCAAAGATCAAACGGTGAGATATCGACTAATTGATTTTATTAATTACAGTATGGAGCGCAGGCGACGCGTGGCTCTCATTTAATCGAAACGCGAATGGTCGAGCTCGCGGGAACGCTATGTAATTACCGAGAACGAAGGGTTTGTCGCTTTAAAAGGTCGCGTTTCAATACGCTCTTGTGAAAATTAATTTCACGTCCCCGAGGGACAGAGGCCTTGTGCCGAATGAAAAGAGTCCCATCTCGTGCGATTTTAATTAATACGCGGCTCATCATGGCTCGCCAACAAGCGCGAAGTGACGTTCGTAGACGCGCGAACCTACAAAGGGGAAAGTGTTGCTTCAACTTTTCATCGAGCACCGGCGCGTCCTTCGTCCAACGCTGCACTCGGTTGTTCCAAGAAGAGCAATAAACGAACTCCGGCTTTTATTCGGCAGCTCCCGCCTCGATAAAACTTTTCATGCATGTACGTCCTCTTTTCCTCCTTTTTTTTTTTCTCTTCTTATACCTTCTCGACGTCTTCTGATTCTTGGTGTGCACGGGACCGCGCGACCCGCTTATCTCGCATTAATCTTGAATTATTAATTCTGCAGAACGTCTAGATATCGTAGACTTACGATGGGATTTACCGGTGGCGAAACAACGTTCGAGAAACGAGCACACGCGAAAAATTGTGAACTTCGAAGGCTCGTGAGATGCTGAAACGAGGTTGACGCACCGCGTCGGCTTCTTTCCTTCGCAGATGGATTGTTACGAAGATACAAGGAAACTTTAGCTTTATCAAGTTATTCTTTAATAATAAATCTCGTTTTTCGGATAAACGGTCTCGGTATGTATTCGGCATTCTTGTTTCACTCGTGTTTCGATGGATTGAAAATTGAAAGATGTTCGTCAAGTAAAATACGAGAAAATTGTCTCTAACCGGTATATGTAATCCGTTTAACTGTTTAGATGAGATAAAATGTTCTACTTCATTGAGATTCGTGACCCACGTAGTGACCTACGACCCACAGCCCGAGGATACGTTGCTCGAGCGTTCACGGATTTGTCTCCGTTCTCGTTCTCTTAAACAAATTACGATACATAGAAATCCATCGTAATGTCATGAGTGTCGCATTTAACTGTAACTGCCAGCTGTATTCGATCGATCATATGTTTCAGACGCGTAAACACGTAATTTGTACGTGTCTTGAATATTAATCAGATCATTAACGAAGCACGTTTCGACAGATTTCTTTCGAATCTGAACGCTGTAACCTTTGATCTTGTACTTCTTTTTTGCTATTCGTAAGAAGTTCCATTTGCGTCAGAACTTCTTGTCAGAGCGCGAAACTTTTATCGCGTTCAGCTTGTTGAATACGATCAACGTACATACAGCTTCGAACAAATCGTTTAATTACCGTGTTATTCAGTCATAGTAAACGTTCATTATAACAATTATTTCGTACGATTGGACTGATATTATTAATCAAATTACAAGCAGAGTAACGTACGACGCGAAGATTTTGCGAGCTACGAGTCAGCCGATCGTCACGTTCGACGAAACAATTGTAAAATTGGAAGAATTGTTTTTGAAACGGCAATCTACAACTTGTCGATTTGTCGTTCGTGAATCCGTCGATGTTATTAATTACCGAACTATTGTGCAAGAGATTCCAGGTATTCGCACGAGAAACTAACTCGTACTTCGTAAAATTCGCAAAGTATGACGGTGGTCTTGCCCGCATAATTAGGGTGCACGACTTGCACACGAGCTGCAAGGTTTATGTACGATCATGCGGGACAATGATCTTTCACTCTTGGATCACGTTGCACAACAGCTCGAGACGAGGGAGCGGTCTCTCTCATAGGCCTCCGAAAAGACCTCCAGCGAGATGACTCTAATATTTGCCGAAGGATATACAGCTGTTACGACAGGATCGATTTTATCGCGAATTTCAAACGAAACAAGGAATCACGTACGTATCACGATTATCCTTTCGTACGAAGCATTCTATGTTTTCTTTTTTTTTTTGCATTCTTAATCGAATCATCAGAAAAATTCAGGAGTCCAGATCTAGAAACTAGTTTATGTAAGTTTCTACGTAACGGATCTGGACGTGCGTAAGACGTTTGCTTTACCAGTCGCATAACGATAAACGTGTCACAAATCATAAACTGTTGCAGTTAGCTAATTATTCTGTCGTAAAGGAAGCGTTGTTTTTTACGCAAACGAAAAGAACTGAAAATTGGTAGTAATTAATTTCGACCATTGTGCTGCATTTCTTTCAAAATGTCCACGCAACAAAGTTGCAAAATTCGAGGAGGCACAACGAATTCTACGTAAAATTATCGTCCTCCATGAATGTTCGTTAAATTTCTATGTTTCACTCGAGGCGTTGCTTAAACCTTAGTCAATTCTACCGTCTTGGATAGAAGCGTGCTTATTAATTTGCGGTCACGCATCGCATGGCGGTTCTATGATATCGTTAAGAAATGGCTTTAAGGGATTATCAACGTGTTCTCGCAACGTACATCGGACATCGCATGGGGCAGGTAGGTGAACGATATACGAGGTATCTAAAACGTCACAAACGATAGCTCCTGACGATGGTCTGCTGTTCGCTAAGGAGTGTACGCCTCGAATTACGCAAGTGAAATATCGCTTATCTGATGCACGCGTGATGACGTTACCTGGGTTAGTTGTTGCAGGTGTTACGCGTTATGTGTCTCTTTTCGTTTCATCTGACGTGACAGTGTGTAAACATTTCTTATACTCCGGATGGCGAATAACGCCATTTCATTTTTTTTACAGCTGTATGTACATTCAGCGTAAAGTACAATATTGCCTTGCGGTCTGACTGCGAATGGGCATAGACTTATTAGGCATTTTCTATCTGAAATGGCGCTCCAAATCAACTCACGAAGTTCTATTTGTTCATACGAAACTATAACATTTTGTTTGAATACGCTTTAACAACAGTGAAAAAATTATAGTTTTCGATATATTATTTATATAAACGAATTTTTCTATAGTCTTTCTATACAGTAATATCAATTTTTCAAAAAACGCAAAATTCTTTCGTTGACGTAATTCTTTTATCTCTAATATTTCTCGAGATATTTTAAAACGTACGTCTTCGACCCTAAAATTTGAGTGCTGTTCTCACGTTCGAGATGCGAGGCAAGAAAAAATACGTGACGAATATTTTTGGTCAGACTATGAGTCTGTAGAGTTTGATCAAGATCGGTTTACTACGGTTGCGACGTTTCTCGCGAGACCGACGAATTTAAAAAATCTTCCAGCGAAATTGTATTTTCTGGAGGTATTCGCGTAATTTTTGAGAAAATGCAGATCGTGTTAAAATCACGAACGGCTATGTAAAAGCATGCAGATCCGCTGAAAACGTGAAAATGATTTCAGCATAGGGCATTAATCATAAGTAGGCACTTACTTTGTCCATAACAGGGTACTCGCACGCGTATCGTCGCGATGGAAGATTAATAAGTGGCGTTTTTCTCAACATTTGTCGTCAATGACGATTCATTATCAAGCAGAACCAATCGAATTTAACCGTTTCGTCTCGGATTTTTACCATGCGCCTCGAGTTGTCTCACTAATTGCACGACTCGTAAAACTCGAAGCAAATGTGCGAAGCTGCGTCGAGATCGTATCCCGTGGAATCATCCTCGACATTTTTCATTCTACGCTTTGCAACATGATTATGCAATGTTAACGTCTTCTTCTTTGACAACTCCTCGTTCGTTTGCGACAAATGGCGCATAATGCAGGGCGGTAAACGTATGATTTGCATTCAAATTATCGCCGACACCTTCGACGTTCGTGCCTTATTTTTTTCATCCTTTTCGCTTGTTCTTTTTCGGACCTTTCTTATTGTCAAACGCGTCACGTAAAAAGAAAAAAAAAGGAATTTATTTAAATTTACGTATGTAAATGCGCAAGAAAGAAAAGAACGATAGCTACACTACGCCCTACGTATCGAAAATCCTCGCTTCGTCTCTTTCAGTCAGCGTGACTCACTGTACCCATTCCACGTCCCACAATGTGAGAATCGTGATAATTGCCAACGTCGAAATACCGCGTTCCCTTTCGATTTGCTAAGCCGAAGGACTAATTGACAAACCAAAGTGAGGCAAAAAATCGAAGAAAGCCAAAAACAAACAGAAAGATCAGCACCGTCCGAGCAGAGGAAGATCGAACGCAAAAGTACACCCAACCGAAAATGAAATTATGTAAATAACAATTACGAAACCGAAGGAATGTACCGACTAAATATGTATAACGCGTCGGGCAACGATAACGAACGAATGAAAATAGCTGTGACAGTGAAGGTGGTAAGTCTGACCCATGAGTTCATCATATTGATATGTTTATTTGCGTACTTTTCTTTCGTGTAATACCGATGTAATGTAGAGCGAACTGTAATGGCTTACGTGCCTGTGAATTTCTTTTTTAGCATCATGCGAACAGCTGAATGCGCAGTCGAAACGCTGCTACGATCTTGTAATTTATGTGGTAAATAAACATTCTTTTATAACAAAAAAAACGTGGTAGACTGATAGGTTCTCGAATTACTCTATCACGAATTCAGATCTCTCACGATCAATAAATTCTTTTTTTCTCCCTTTTGTAACTTGTTTTCCGCGGATGTGCTTATATATTCATGTTCTTTTATTTTGTAATATCTTCCTTCAGCTTTTTGTTAGTCTTTTTCCTTCTCTTTAAATTTACTGCCATTGCGTTACATTATATAAATACAATATACAGGATGATGCAGACACAAGTATTTTCAACAAAATATTATCACATTATCCGGCGGACATACTTGGTGAACGTTAAAAAAAAAATTGATCTATCGAATATTAATTTTATCGCGTACCAAGAATATCTTCTTTAAAAAAACGTATCTTCGTTGCATCTTCTCTGATTCAGAATTCGCCGCTGGTTTGTGAAACTTTGGTTGACTTTTCTGAATTTGACAATAGGGAATACAACGTGGCGGAATAATTTCTACGGTTGATGTACGATCTCCATCGTCGTGTATAAAAATGCTATTAAAGCGAGCAACGTCCACCCCGTGAACTCAGAATTAATAGAAATTGATTGTGTCCACAATATGGACTGATCGCTTTTAATATCTTGCCAAATAATAAATATTGACGAAAATTATGAAAAAATTATTGACGATTATGAAAAATGTTATCAAAATCGATGACCCAACGACTGTGACCTTTCCTTGCGAGATAACACGCGACGAAGTAAAATACATAGAGGAACGACACAGAGGATTATAAATAGGCGTATCTGCAGCGTGCAGGCTGTCGGAAAATAAAGTATTAAAAGAGACAGAACAAGAGCCACATTAGTCCGATCGGAGGTTCGAGGCGAGTCAGCGGTCTCGAGTAGGTTGTCGGAGCCTTCAGGGCAGAATTGCACCATCCAGAGAGTTAGATCCCCTTGGGCGAATCAGCGGCCTTATTTACCCTTCTACCAACGTGCCGGCGGCTTTCTGAGATCAACCAACGTCACGTGTAAAACGGAATACACGCGTGTGCATACGTAACGCGTATGCGTAAAAGGCGTTGCACACGCGCCAGACTCTGCGTATAAAAATATTTTTGCCTTTTTGTACCGCCTTACCGTTAGCTCGGTTGTATGACATTTTTATACCACCTGGAGAAACTTACATCGGGTTAGAAGGAAATTGGACGCGTACTTGTGCCTGTTAATCTAATAACAAATAGTGATTTCTTCGTGTCGATATACAGTGGCTACAAGAAATATTCGTACACCATTGTGTTTGTCATAACGCGTGTACATATTAATTAATTAGATTCAGGTATGTGAAATTTCGTATCATTTTTAAGTATAATACTCTCGCGTGGCTACAAAAATTACATAAATACAGAATTGATAAATAAAAAATTATATAAGTGCAGAAGTACAAATATAAATTTGTAGCCATCGTAGATTTTTTCGTATCGTAATCACGTGTTATTTGGCAATAGCGATAGTCGATGCATACGACTTATGGATTATATTTGTCATTAGATATTTATATGAGTGTACATTGCTGACAACGAGAGAATAGGCAATAAAGGACATACATAGGTAATGCGTGTTAATGTTTCAAATTTATATGAATTATATTTATACGCGGCAAAGTCGTGAATATAATTGTGATAAATGATCGCAGAATGGAAACTGATTGGTCGAGGTATAAAATGTTCCACGATGTAATTTAATATAATTTAACTTCATTAAAAAGTTGCCACACTCTTTACGTTTATAAATTTGTAAAAATGAGTATTTGAAGTGTATATCACTTTTTCTTTCGCATAATGGAAAAACGAAGCAAAAACGAATGTACGAGATTGTATATATTAAAGTACCCTTAAAGTGTTCGATTAATGTCGTTTATACGTTGCCGTTTACCCGTTCGCTTCCATTTACTCGTTAACGTCGCAAGAGTAAACGCAGACGGGTAAATACCGACAGACCCCGACTACCTGAACTAAGGATGGTCTAACCGCAAAATACTTCAAAGTATCCACTAGTTCGATCGTCGTTCCGTACCGTAGCACAGGAAAGCCAGAAGATAAAGAAGAAGAGACTGAATTGATAATTCGATCGGCGAGTGATTCGCTGGCTTAGCTCGAGTTACACCGCATTACGTTCCCAAGTAAAACAAGTCGGAAAGAAATATTTGAAAAAGTGAAAGAAGATCTTTTGAAGTGTTTTTAAACGTACGTATCTAGACTGCGAATTTTTATGCATTCGTAGGAAATTTGAAAATACAAAATTACACAGGTAAAAATTTCATAGGTAAAACAATTCTCTAGCGAGGTTTTGCTCTTTTAAATTACATTCTCACAAATATGAATTTGCAGAAAAATCCGCAGTCTCTATTTCTTTAGACAGTGTGAAATTTTGAGTTTGTTACAAGTCACCCGTCTGAGATTATACGTTTGGTGTATCGTATTTCTAAATTACGACTGAAAGTGTATTTTTAAATGACAAAATATACGTCCAATAGACACTGTACAGTAGACGATGTACGGTTCCTTTGTTGAATAGATTCTTAAAAGGAACACGCCGAACGACATTTGATCGATCTAAATTTATCATTCTTTCTGAACGAACCATTATAGACTCGATTATTATGTAATATAGACTGACGGTTACGCGAACTAGCTTTATTCTAAATCCTCGTAATGACAGATCTCGCAGAGAACTCGATGTCAGCCATTGAGACGCATGCTCGCTTGATCTGTTCCTTGCTTGAATGATCTTTTCCTTTCTTTCTTTCTTTTTTTGAAATGTTAATGAATGTGGAGTAAGGTTCGACCTGCGTGTGGTTGGAGGCGCGTGTTCGCGGCCAGGAGAGCCTGTTCGTTTGTAGTTCATGCCTTCCGGTGAAGATCGAACCGGAGAAGGAGAAAGAGACAGGCAGTCTGGTTGCTAAACGCTTCAGAAAGGAATCGAATTCACAAATTGCTGATTTCGTGGACCCAGCTGCTTCCCACGTGCCCAACCTACCTACGCCTAGTTAAACGACTACGTTAACACGCCGGGTTTATCCCTCGTCGATGCTTCTTAGAATTATCGATACTTTTAACACGTTCACTACCACGGTGACCATCGGTGATTCAGGTCACTAAATTTTTTAGAACGATTAAGATAAGATAAATTCCATGGACTGGCAACAAATTTCGTGGACTAAATTTCCAACAATTTGAATGATTTAGATAACATTGTCGAAAGAAAGTAGGCAAATAGAACGTATTTCGCAAAAATTAAACGTTACGATGTGGTATATTTCGATCTATCACAGATCCTAAAAAAGAAAATATATATATATGAAATTTGCACGGCAATCAACCTGTTCGTGTACCATTCGTGTACCACATATTACAATTTTTCAACTTTCATTGTGTTTTATGAAAAATTTGCTTTTCGTCTCTGCCAGATTGAACGAATTCGTTTCAATTCAGAACAGATTGCGACGAGTATAGTCTAGTTTTGCATCGTCGATTTTCGTGTACCATATTTATCTTGGCTTTTATCGTTAAAATTATCACTCAGAAGGAAACTAAATTACAGAAATTAGCGATAACGTTTCATTTTTTGAGCACGAGAGATTCTCATTGCAGAATTCAATTTGAAAAATGAGAAATATTCGGATATCGAGGGACGGGTCAGAGATGCGTGAAATTTATCGTCGAATTGTCTTTGCTGGTATGGAGATTGAAACGAGTTGCGAAAGTTGGCATTGAGCAGAGAGGAAAATAATGTTCCGAAAGAGAAAATAAGTCACGTTTAAAAAAGATTTACTTCGTTTAATGGCACATGTTACGATAAAATGTTGCTCGCCGGGTTGTTCGCTTCGGTACTTTACGCTTCAACTTCTCTACTCTGCTGTCTGCTACTTGCAACCAACGTCTGACCTATTTTCTTCTCCAGTCGATCAACAATAACCGTTACACTTTTTCCGAACAAACAATAAATTGCCAGTCGAAAGATGTCTAGAGAATTTTCAGGAAACATTAAATTATTAGCTTTCCTTCGTGATGAAAACCAGGCAAATATACGAGAGATTTGAACGCGTTGGTTTTCGAACATTTAACGTTTTTACGCGAAACTTCTTAAATAATTCTTGTGAGAAGAGATCGTACAAGGAACGAAGTTACAAAAAGTTGTGAAAAGAATTGTAGTTGTTATCGTTGATCGATGCAGATGCGTGTAATAAAAATAAAAAGAATTGATTAAATCTAAAAATTTATGGTGCAATATAATTTACAAGATGGAGATAAAAATAAAAGGTGATTCGATAATATTGCATAATAACGATTTATGTACTTCATAAACACCTATTTTTACGAGAAAATACATGATTAAAATTTCTTAATAAAAAGTAATCCGCACGGTGATTATTATTTGGCTTCTCATAAGCGAGTTTTATTTAAAAAAAAAAAAAAAAAAAAAAAAAAAAAAAAAACAGAACGTAGATAAAGAAAAGGAAAAGAAAAGGAGTAAAACTCTTGATAGGAGAAGAAAGATGGTCTGGATGTAATTTAATATAGAGGAGACAAGTTTGGAGGCAGTCGATCTGAAGACACAGTGGTGCACCCGGTGAAAAACGTGTGTCGAACATGCATCGTTTTTAGTAGGTCAGTACCGAGGGGGAAAGAAAGTTCGTAACTGGCGAACTTGAGGGACGTTGGTGGCGAGTGCATCGACGGAACACGGTGCATAAACATTTTCCGGGCCATCTGCTTGGCAAATGCAAGAACAACGTCCGATCGTAAACGATAAAACTTTTTACACCCGAATCTTCGTGATACGAATCATTGCACGACGATTCTACGCGGAATATTTAAGAAATACGTATGTAATACGAACAGAAAGTAAATATTTAACGCGATCTTTTTTCAGATCGAATCTCTTAATTATACTTGTACATATCCAATTATTGAGCCATTTTAGCTTTTACTTCAAATATTATCTTACTTTCTGGGTTAATCGATAAAGAGATTTTAACGAAAGCTTATTACATACTGCAATATAATTTTTCGCCGGTCTTTGATCTCCGCGTTCAATTGAATTGATCTCAGGGATCATTTACTTTCACGAAGAATCTCTACCGTTTTATCCGGAATAATATTCAAACTTTTAAAAGATCTTTTCTTTTCGCCCATAACAATTTCTAACGATCGGCAAACTCATAAAATTGTTTTCAAGCCAAACGAAAAGTACGGTCATGAAATCTCAAGAGTTCAACTAATTCTTGATAATTTGTAAAACAGTGCGATCGATTTAACAGAAAACGAAATATAAAATCGATCGTAAAACTTTAAGACCTTGCCCGATCGCTTTCGATTTCAACGATGAATAATTTGCACGTGCGGACTTATCGACCAAACAAATTAATTCTCAATTTGCTAATCGACTGAAAAAAAAGAAGCATCGCGTACGAATGAACGAACGATAGTGAGAGCAGTGGAAACGGTCCGTTCGTCAAACCTCACCTGGCGTGACGTTTTAGTAAGGTGAATGGAGTCCCCCCTTTCTTTCTCTTCCCCACCACCGTGTGCTCCAAGTACATGATTCTTATGGGACGAGTGGAGAACACGATTACTTTTGTCCATTCAATGAAATCAGATAAATGCGAGGTGGCAAACGATTTATCACGTGAGTAATACTCACCACGAGGAAAACTGGAGAGCGCGTGGGCTGCCGAAATTTCGGCAAATCATTATTTATCTTTCTTCGTATTAATCAATTTATGCGAAAGTTTCAAAGTTTTTACTGTTTCACATTTTATAAGTAAACGACAGAACAAAGTAAAGGAGAGATGTGTTAAAACCACGATAAGACGCGGGGAGGTTCGAAAGAGTTTTAAATCTCTTTGGTAAAATTACTTATTTTGTCAGGTAAATCGAATTATTACCGTTTCATAAGATAAACATTTTCACTGAAAAATTTGATAGATCTTATCAAATTGTTCTGCGTTCGAGAGGCCAAATTACCTTGCTAAACTAGTGTTCATATCGAGCAAATCTTATCAACGACTTTGATAATTAGCAACACTATCAGCGCTGAAAAACGTTAAATATTCTGTTTTAACGTAATGGACTAAGTTATTCCGGCTATTTATGTTCCTTAATTATTTAAAAATATGCCTCTACCAATCTTACTTTTCAATCTTTCGAAAATATTCGGTACTTTTTATACCATTGCATGTAATTTAACGCGAAATCATGAAATGAAAGTTATATCACGGCTCTCGGTGCGGTAACAGTTAATTTTGTTTGTCGAGTCGGTCGGGGCTCGTTATCTTTCCTAGCAGAGTATTAATAATTATGTATCGAACACGTGACTTACGTGAGCTAAGCTGGCGACAGCCAGACCAAAGGTGAACGCGATGTGTACCACCGTCGGAGGATTGTCCGCGGTCCACGTGATACAGGATGCACAGCCGATCAGCACCAGAAGAAACGTTCCCAAGGTTTCGGCGAACAGCTTCAACAGAAACTCGAACTTCATCACCTCTTCGAGGCCGACGAAATCTTTCATGCCTGGACAGAACCAACAAGAAGAAGAAGAAAATAACGTGTGACCATTCGGATTACATCGTCGAGCAACATTTTTGCATTCTCGTTGTAACATTTTGTTGGTAATTAAATAACGCATGAAAAGACATGGAAGACGTTTCTCACTGTCCGTCTTTATTGAAACGTCAAATCTCGTAGTGTATTCAAGAAATGAGCGCGAACACAAGTGAATATTCGTCATTGTCGGTGTCGTCTTTTTAAGCATACGTCGCGATGATTGTTATCTTTAACAAAAGAAATCCCGTCTTCTTGTCTGCTGGTGTATCGATCATTCGAATACAGGTATGAATAAT